GGCGCGGCTGCCTCTGTATCAGGCAGGTGGGAACTGGTGCTCACTGGGAGTCGGTCCTGTCCCCCTGTGCTGCTGCCTCCGATACAGAGGCAGCAGTGCAGGGTGGTGGGGGGCTCCCCAGGAGAGGGGCCAGGAGCCCAGGCAGCCGGCCCGCCCCGCCGACTATTAACCAGTCGTGTCCCGGCTAAGATTTCACGCGGGTACACGACTGTTCAAGCACACGCTCTCTGACATCCCCGTGTGACGCACGTTGCAGGAACACGTCCACGGTGAGCATGTGCGGGGAGGGCAGCGTCGGCTGGGGGATCCCGCGAGCGGCTCGTGGGGGCGAGGGGAGGGAGGGTTAAGAGCCGTGAAAGGGCAGCAGCTTTCCTCCCTTGTTGTGGTTTTGGGCTCCGTGGCAGGGCTGGAGCTCTGGGGGTGAGCCAGGGACTGAGTCATCCCTTTGAATAGCTGCACTGTTGAGTAAATACCAGCACATGGAAACGCTCCGTGTTCGTGGTGCCGCGGGAGGGAGGGGCTTTGTCCCAGGGGCTGCAGTGGAAGAAGAGATGTCTGTGCAGTATCTAGTGGCCCCCCAGGGCTGCGCTCCCCCTGTACCTGCTGTGCCACGTTAGGGCTATTGGATTTCACCCTGGGCTCAGTGCCCGGCTCTGTGTCCCTCTCAGCCTTGTCGTTCAGTCTAACTCGTACCTTTGCAAGCAGCAGAACCCACACGCAGTCCAAAGACTCCCCATTGCTGGTTAGCTGTACGGGGTCTGTGACACACAGCTAGGCAGTTCCTGTTCCAGTGATCCACTGTGTGTGTGGCTTTTCTAGCCAGTGATTTCTAAGGCATAGCAGCTCCATGTTTCTGGGTTGGCGCCCTGCTGGCTCTGGGGGAGGACTGAGAGAGCTGCGCCAGGATTCGTGGAACGGTTACATGTATCCTAGAATACTGAGGCTCCGGGGTCCCTTCCAGTCCATCAAGTCCAGTCCCCCTGCCCCCATACAGCCAACAGCAGGCAGGGCCCAAGTCATATGCCTCCAGCCACGATCCTTCCTTCCTTTGGCACGTTCCCTAGCATGGGGACAGGGGAAATCTCACATGCCCATTGCTGCATCCCCCCAACCCGGGCTAGGGATGTGAAGGACTTGTCGAGTATCCAATAAGCAAATGCTTATCAGATAGTCAACAGGCTAGTCGACTAGTCACTTCCCACCCCCACCCCCCTTGCTGCCTCTGTCAGAAAGAGGCAGCAAGGTGGGAGAAAACGGCAGCACCGCATGGAGCATGGGGCCAGACCTTGAGCTCCACGCAGCGCTGCCTCTTTGAAGCGCTGCGTGAAGCCCAGGGCCAGCTGGGGTGTCCCCAGGCTCCCTGCGGCATTTCAAAGTGGCAGCGCCGCATGCAGCCTGGGGTCAGCGGGGGAGTCCCCAGCTGATCCCAGGCTCCACTTGGCGCTGCCTCTTTGAAACACCGCAAGGAGCCTGACGCCGGACTACCTGTGGCGTTTCAAAGCAGCAGCGCTGCTCGGAGCCCGGGGGTAGCAGGGGAGTCCCCAGCTGATCCCGGCCTCCATATGGCACTTTCGCCTTTAAAGTGTAGCAGCAGCCCTGGGGCTGTTTTTAACTTCAAAGGCAGAGGTGCCCTATGGACTGTACAATTAGTCAGTTACTCGCAATTTAACATCCCTGCTCTAGGCCTGTCCTGGGGGGTGATCAGCTCCAGGCCACTTGGTGGTCCCTGATCTGCTGTTTGTGTCCAGTGCCTGCTCTGACAGCAGTCGCCTCATGCCCAGGCTCCTGCTCCCGTCAAAGAATTCATTGAACACCACGAGGCTGGGAAGTATCATTTCTGCTTGTGAATGGGGAAACTGAGGCATAGAGAGGCCCAAGGTCTCCCAAAAAGTTAGTGGCAGAGCCAAGAATGGACCCCAGGAGTCTTTAACCCCCAGAGATGCCAATCCCTTCTCAGGGCCAGAAATAGAGTCCAGGAGTCCCAGTTGCCTCTTGACGGCTCAACAGCAGTACCTCCCGTGCAAGCTTCAGCTCCCCTTCCCCCCTCGCAAAGGCTCGACATTGCTCTGCCTTGGCCTGTTCCTCCAGCCCTCCATGCCCCCTTTCCTGGGCTCGCAACACATTTCTCCGGCTGTGCTACTGCCAATCCCTTCTCAGGGCCAGAAATAGAGTCCAGGAGTCCCAGTTGCCTCTTGACGGCTCAACAGCAGTACCTCCCGTGCAAGCTTCAGCTCCCCTTCCCCCCTCGCAAAGGCTCGACATTGCTCTGCCTTGGCCTGTTCCTCCAGCCCTCCATGCCCCCTTTCCTGGGCTCGCAACACATTTCTCCGGCTGTGCTACTGGCAAAGGAGAAATAAAAATCCCCCCCCCCCCCCCCCCCCCCGCCCCACCCCGCGCCGGGGGGCGGACGCACA